TGGCAGGATGTGGGCTTCTAGTTCACCAGGCAGGAAGGAAAGCACAGCTTAGCTCTGTCCTGGCTGCCTGACCTTGGCCCTTCCTGTGACTGCTTCCTCAACTGTGAATTAAGCCTGTTTCTCAGGCAGGGCCGGATATGGAGAGCACTGAGTAGAATCTGAGGCCTGGCTCATGGGCTGCCTGGCTTAAGATGTAGCTGTCGTCAGTGTCTCGAGCACCCCTTGTCATGGATAGGGAAGTTATCTGACCCCAAGACAGATCAGGGAAGAGGAAGAAACAGTGATAGCTGTAATTATTTACATCTAAGTGCGATCCTTTCATTCTTCTGCCTCTCTGGGAAAAACTCCCAAGCTGAGTGATACCTCTTTAAAGAAGTGGTGCTTCCTTTGTCAAAAAAGGGCAGCTGATCACAGTGGTTACTATGTATAGTTTTGTTCTTGACATTTGAAAAGATCCAGAGAGGAGCTTCAAAAGTTCATCCAAAAGTGGGTGGTGAGCAGGAGGTGGTGAGGGGAGGCACCGCTCTCCCGTCATGCTTTTTCTCAGTTGGTTGAGTGGCTGGCCTTCCTGATGGCCAAGGCTGCAGCGGATGAGCTCTGGAGAGCCTTCCAGTCTTAAAGCCCCTGCACATGTGGGGTAGTTTTTGGCTGCATCCCGTTTCAGATGGGGTGGAGGTATCCTGGCATATGGGGAAAGAGTGGTAGACAGGTGCCCTGGAGAGCAGCAAGTGAACCTGCCCCCAGACTCAGGACTGGGCAAGTCATGGCAGTGGAGGGAGTTGGCTTCTTCCTTGCCCTGTAGCACAGGGACCATCTGCCTCCCAGAGTTCCTGAAGTGATGAATTATACTAATGCTGGCGAGCTCCTGACATGTCTGAGGTTTCCTAAGACCTTTGATACACTGGAACAGTTTTTCTAGTTGGCTAAAAAAACCGGCATGAGAGTGGGGGTTGGATACTTTGCTGGTAAGCCACGAGGAGAGCAATGGCATTCTGGTTATAGTTAAACCATGCTAGAAAGCTTTCAGATTCAACTTGGCCAACTGCCTACCACTGATTCCCACTGGACCTGCTGACCCGCCCTGGAAACCAGAACCTCTCCATGCAAGGAATGTCAGAGGGCCAATATGTGAGCCTCCTTTGTCCTGACAAGCAGAGGGAGCTGAGGTCGAGGTCTGAGGCATCTTGACACGAGTCTGGTTCCTCTCAACCACCACCACAAAAATCCAATCAATTATTTTAAAAAGGTTCCAAATACCTTGGAATATATTCTGGATGCCTCAGAGTTTATACCAGTTGTGTCTCTGATTGCCTTGTAGATCACAGCAAGCATATTTTTTAAAAAAAACAAAACCCGGGGCTGGAGAGATGGCTCAGCGGCTAAGAGCACTGACTGCTCTTGTAGATGATCCAGGTTCGATTCCCAGCACCCACATGGAGGCTATGACCCATCCTTAACTCCAGTTCCAGGGGAATCCAAAGCCCTCTTCTGACCTCCGCAGCATTGCATGACACGGGTGCACTCACATACATGCAGGCAATACACTCATACACATAAAATAAAAATAATAAATAAAATATTAAAAAAACCCAGATCTATACCAAAGTGACCAGCTGAAAATAATTGTGATTTTTCTCCTTCATAAATGACAAAAGAGAAAGTCATTAAGAAACTAAATGGCCAACTCCTAGCAATGAAGAGAGCTGGCCAGAGCTCCACAGTGAGTGAAAGAGGCTCCTGCTGCTACCACACGCCCTCATGTAGCTATTTGGGTGCCGAATCAACACGGCATCACATATGAAGCATTTCCAGAAAGATGCTGGAGGTGGACACAGCGCAGTTCTGGGTTCAGAACACTTCTTCCCAGTGTGGGGAGGGGGGGTCTGTGGCAGCCTGGAGGTGGGGGGGGCAATGGGGAGTGGGGAGCAGACAGATGACTCCAGCTCTGCCATCGGGAAGGACAAGACCCACTGTAGACCTATGAGTTCCTGGGGCTGTTAAGTTCCAAGCAGGAGTCTCTGGAGAATGAAGCGGCCTCTGTCGGCACCTCACAACTTCTGCATGGGCCATGTTAGAATGTGTTGTCTCAAATGCACACGTTTCAAGCGACCACAGACCACAGAGCTGCCTAAATAGACCTCTCAGTCTAACCTGGAAGGTCCTCTCTAGCCTCTCTTTGTGTGACAGCCTTTCAGAAGTGGGATTACCAAGTCGTTTCACACTGATCACATCCATCCTTATTTTGCTCAAAGATATCACCCCAAATTCATGCTTTTTAAAAAATCACAGATACATTAAACCTGGATGCATGGTGAGTGCAAACAGGTTTATTTGTGATTTTGTATGGAGAATAACCATCACACCAACACCAACAACACAACCTCGAGGTAACAGGTAACAGCCAAGATTATTATGGGAAAAACAAAACAAAATAAAACCTAAACCAAAGCAAGAACAAAAACCCCAGGACATTCACGGAAAGGCACCTACAGTGCTGGCCGTTAAGTGTGCCCGTCCTGTTTCAAGGGGACAGTAAATCATGCTTTGAAGCGGTGAATACGGACTCGTGGCTGCTCCAGGTGTGGAGAGAAAGTACTGATTGCCCAGTCTAAACATTTATACCACCCCTGAAGGCTCAGGGGACGTCTTAAAGAGCCACAGAAAGAATGTAAGAGAAGTTTAGGCTGGGCACTGGCCCCGTGAGTAAGGTGCTAACCTGGGAACCGGGTACCTGCGTTCCATCTTCAGGACCCACAGGGTGGAAGGAGGGAACGGACTCCCACGGGCTATCCTCTGACTTGCACAAGCCATAGCACACATGTACTTTTGCAAGCAAGCAAGTGCGTGCACGCACATACACACAACACACACACACAATGTAATAATAATAATAATAAGGAATGTACAAGCCCGAAGATGGAGAAGGGCTTCGAAATGCCATCTTCTGGGCATGACACATTTGCAGTCATGACCTCACAGTCCTGGTGGTCCACTGCTGTAAATCTGCACAAGAATGGGCCCATCAATGGCCAGGCACCGATGGGGAGGTGCTCAGGGGGCCCCCGACCCCTCACTACTGAACTACCAGCTGCTGGTGAATTCTGGGACTGGGAGTCAGTGCTTTCAGCTGAGTACTCCCTGCTGAGTCTGCCAGGCTCTACTGGATAGTTCCAGACTGATGGTCACACAGATGGCCCTGCTTAGACTCAGTGGGTCACAAAATAAATCAAACAGACATGCATCTGGGAAAGGGAGTTGTAGGGAGGAGGGGGTTTGCTAGGGATCAGAAGGAGGTGAGAGAGGGTGTGTGGGGGCACTAACCAGAATTCACGGAATACATGTATGAAATTGGGGGCTGGGGGAGTAACCAGATACATTGAATACATATGGAATTATCAGAGGACCAATGCCAAAAGCTCACAGTTTGCTTCCCTGTGCGTCTCTATGAGTCTCCTTGAACAAACTTGTGTAAACCAAGATTTTTTCCCATTTGTGCACTATTTGCCAGAAGCAGGACAAATACCTCTGGCATTGTATTCAGTGTGTTAGATGACGCTGACAAAATTAGCAGGCCTGTGATCCCAGTGCTGGAGGCCGAGGCAGGGAGATTGAGAGCTCAACGCCAGCTTCTGAGAGACACCATGGGCTAGAGCGTGAGACTCTGCCCCCCAAAAAGGAAATTTAAGAATTCAAGGATCCTTAGGCCATCACTGCAGACGGCTGGGCTGGCTTAAAATGGAGGGAGGGCACACTGCACGTCCCACATAAAACTGACCTGTACAACGCTACCGAGACACGATGAAGGAAGGCAAAGGGGGTGTGGAGGTGCGGGGGTGTGGG